AATGGACCATGCAGAATAAATAACTGAAGCCTGTCCTTTTAAAAATCTGAGGTCTTACCAAAGAGAAAGGAAGAAAAAGAGAGGATTTCAACACAAGAGTGTTAAAGGTGGAAAAGCGCCAGAAAGAGCTATGGGCTTAAAAAAAAAATCAGTGAAGAAGTAGTCGTGTATATTGGCAAAGAGAAGTGTAGAGCTGAGGGGAGGGAGAGAATTTATAGCAGAGGAAGTCGGTGTGAAGTTTTCCTCTAAAGATGCCCAGCAGAGCAAAGAAGGAATGAAGGCAAAGGCCACTGGGAATAAGGCAGGGCTCAGGCTGAAACAGCATGGGAGAAAACAACAAGGCCCAGAGGAAGAAATTATTTTCTTTCTTTCTTTTTTTTTTTTTCATTAACTGACCCAGATTTTCTTGTTTGGGACCAAAGGCAACTGCAGAGTTTAAAGATCTTTGAAATAAATTATAAAGATTCTAATCCTTGGAATTACCCTTGACCCAAGGTAATACAAATTATAAGGATGATGACAGAATTAGTGATAATCTCTGAGACAAATACCATTTAGTAAATAAATTACTATGTTGTAGAAATACTACAGGGAATTAAATGGCTTTAGCTTCCTATCAGCTGCAGGGTAAATATACTTTCTCGTTATACACACATCCAAAGATATTAAGTAACCTAATATACTGGAGATGCCAAAAATATGTATATACATTTTAAGAGATGTTAAGAGATGTCTGCCATAGTCAGAAGTGTCTGGAGACTGATGGTAACCAATTTGTACACCTCTTGTAATTGCAGAAGTCAAATGTGACTTCATCTTTTGTTTATCGGTACACATTGAGTATCACAATTTTTAATCGTTTTTTTCCTTTCTTAAAATGTACACTTTTTTGGCACCTCTGTATATGATAAAGCTGAGTTACTATCTTTGGATACTGTAGCTCCAAGGTCCCATCCCAAGAACTGTTTAACACAGGGCAAGTTAAAGGGCTACACAGGAAAAAAAAAATCAAGGTTAAAAGTAAAGACTTTGAGAGGAAAAGTGGAATACCTATGCTACTGGTATAGAAGAACTGGGGCATTAACAACTCAGAATCCAATCAAGTCAGTTAGAGGAAATGGCACAAAACCAAGACAAAGACTCAACACTACTAACTAATCTTGAAAGCCTCACTTAGGATTTGACATCAAATATCGAATCAGAGTTTTCAACTTTATTTTTATTTAAAAATTTCATTTTAGGAAATGAAACAAAATTGCTTAAATCATTTTATAGATGTAATCATGCAATTTTAAATGACTATAAAGCCGGGCTCGGTGGCTCAGCCTGTAATCCCGCGCCTTTGGGGTGAGCGGATTGCCTGAGCCCATGGGTTCGAGACCCGCCTGGGCAACTTGGCGAGCCCTTATCTCTACAACAAATCAAAAAACCAGCCGGGCGTGGTAGCGCACGCCTGTAGTTCCGGCTACTTGGAAGGCTGAGGCGGAAGGATCGCCGGGGCCCAGCCGGTCGAGGCTGCGGTGGCCGGGAGTGGCCACTGCCCTCCAGTCTGGGCGACAGAGTGAGACTCCAACTCAAAAAAAACCCCAAGAAAACCCCACCAAAAATTAGCAGTTAAGTGCCTAATTTTTTTGGCAAAGACTGAATGGCATACAGTAATGTTAGATACAGATAGCCTTGCTATGGCACCATTCTACCTGTGAGCTCAAATCCTTGGATGACCCAGTCACAACTGTACCCAAATAATCCTGACTCCCACTGCTCCCTAAAACCTGCCCTTCACTGTCCCTTCACACAGGCCTCTAGACAGACCTTTGTCTGGGGTTTGGTCATTCCCACCTTCCCACCAGTGCATCTCTCCTTACATCTAAAGTCTCTCTCGGTTCCCCCAAGGCCCAACTCGTCGCGTTTCCTTCACGTTACTCCGGTCAACACAGCTCCCTTTCCCTTCCCGGGCCTCGACAACTCGCCGATACCCAGGCGTCCCTTTCCCTTTCTGCGCAGGCTCTCTGGGACCCTTTCCCGGCCCCACTCAGTTCTCCCCGGGGGTCTCTCCCCACCTGCCTTCATTCAGTCCAGAGCGTATTCAGCATCTGCCCTGCGTTTCGCGCCCCTGGCGACAAGGACAGAAGCCTGCTCGGAGACACCCACCCAGACGCTCTCCTGGGCTCTTCCACGACCCTCCCAGGCCTCCGGCCCCCGCACCTCCCCGCGATCCCTGAAGGCCGCTCTCCTCGGGCCTGGCAGCGGCGGGCAGCAGGGTCGGCAGTGACTCACCGGAGGGCAGGCCGGCCGGGGGGCCGGAATGCGCTCACTTCCTCGCCGCGCGCACCTGCCCGCGCTGCTGGAGCGCCGCCCGGCCGGGCCTCCGGCGGATGTTTTTCTTGTCCCCGCGCGGGCAGCGCCCGCCAGCCGCCCCCTCCCGGCCCCCGCGCGCCGGCCGCCGCACCCCCAGGTCTCGGCGGCTTGGGCCCTCACCACTGACACCCTCGGCAGCACGCACGCACGCGGGTTCCACTGACACCTCCGCGCCGCCCCCAACTTCTGGGAGAGGAATCTTGGCTCAGTCCCGCTCCTTTCCAGAAGCCCCTACTCCCGCCCCTATTTGCCGACCTCATCTTCATTACGGGCGGCCAGCCCTCACTTCTGCCCCATTACTGCACACACACTAATACCCCTGGGCCCTCTTCAGCTCCAGCATCACCCCCATCTTCATGCTCCCCGCTCGCCACTCACGTTCGCCCCCTATCGGGCTGGTTCCACGTTGCAGGAGCAGACGGTAGTCCGTGACCCAACCTTCCAGGGTCAGCTGGACGCCCCTCCCCCAGAAAAGCAGCGGCAGAGCTGCTGACCACTGACAAGACCTCTGAGCCCCTTTGCTAGACAGGCCTCTCCTCCACCTGCTCCAGAAGAGCAGTCCGAGGCCAATGCCTCCCATACACCAGCCTAGCCCAGGGCAACCTGCTTCAACTGTGAAGTTTGGGTTTTTTTCTTTGCTCTGCTCTGAACCGAAAGGGTATTTATTAGGCCTGACTAGGGCAAACGTGTGGTGCATTCTACATCTCCATCCACCTAAGCCGTCTTCTTGGAAGAGATCAGCCAGGGAGTTTGAAGTGTACTGACAAAAGTCATTTCTGAATGATGAAGAGGTGACAGGTAGGGTGGTCCTCTGAAAAAGTCTGCCAGACGTAGTTGTATCTGATGCACTAGGTGGCAGGCCATGAGTAAACGGGACTGGAGACTTAGAAGGAAAAAAACAATAAATAAAGTGGCTCTGTCAGGAATAGCTGAAACAGGGGTCTTTGAAGTGTGGAAAAGTGAAAGAAATCCAGTTTGACCAGGACCTTTAGTATCAAAGAGATGGCTAGCATCAGTGTTCAGAAAGGAGAACTTGAGAGCTAACATGAGCAGGGATGGGAAGAAATGCATAGAATCCTTTTTTTTTTTTTTAGTTGGAGTCTCACTCTGTCGCCCAGACTGGAGTGCAGTGGCCGCTCCCGGCCACCGCAGCCTCGCCTGCTGGACTCTGGCGATCCTTCCGCCTCAGCCTTCCAAGTAGCTGGAACTACAGGTGCACGTTACCACGCCTGGCTAATTTTTGGTTTATTGTAGAGATGAGGTATCACCAAGTTGCCCAGGCGGGTCTCGAATCCGCGGGTTCAGGCAATCCACTCACCTCAGTCTCCCAAAGGCGCGGGATTACAGGCTGAGCCACCGAGCCCAGTTTGCATTAAAATCCTAATGAGAAAAGGCAACTGACATAAAGGTAGCTGGAAGGATGAGATGATTATATCTGAATTTCCCAGGGTAGAGGTGCGGGTACTCTATATTCTACCCTCTGGGGAAAGCAGGCTTATTGGCAAGTGCCTCCAATTCAAATTTCTCAGAATTCAATACAAAGACCAAAATTAGAATGCTCTGGAGGTATCTTTTTGGAGGAGGCAGGGATGACATGGAGCATGTACGAAAAGGGCAGAAGTCTATGCCAGAAAAGAACAGTCCCCGATAGAAGCCCTTAGCTGTGCACACAGAGCTGCTCAATGTCATTCATAGAAAAAAATGTCACCCATTTTGCCTTGGAGCTTTGACACCAATCACAATAGCTAATATTTTCTGAGTGCCAGTGATGGTGCTAAGAGCACAGCATGCATTATCTCATTTAATCCTCATAACAACCCTATGAGCTGGCATTAGCATACCCAATTTATAGATGAGGAAACAGGCTTAGACAGGAGAAGTAATTTGCCCAAGGTCACATAGCTAGTAAGTAGAATCAGAATCTGAATCCAATTACTGTAGTCTGTCTGTACAGTCTATGCTGTTAATCACCCATCCTGGGGTCCTCCAGAACCTGCAGGAAACTCAAAGGATAAATTCCTAAAACCTCATTCAATTATATATAGAAGGAAAGAGAGGGCTCCTCTGCAAAACTGGAGCGATTCATCCCATTAGGGCATTTAGATGTTCCTCTTTGAAAGGGGGAAAGAACCATCCCAAGTATAGGGCAATTCTGCATCTGCTGTATGTGAGGCTGACAAACAACAGATTCCTGAGGAAAAAAGATTCTGCACTCCCATCTCTGAAGGGAAGCCCTATTTCTTGGATATATCAGGGAACCCCTGCCCCAGGGACTGAGGGAAACACATTCTCCACTCCAGGTGCCTGCTCGCTCTCCTGGAGCCTCTGGCCGTTGCACCCTATTGCAGCTCCTGGGCTTGGCTGGGGCACAGGATTAGCCATCCCCAGGAAATGCCTCCCTCCGGTCCAGGCAGGGATCCCAGCATACACACCCCTGGTGGCGGGGGGAACGCTGGGGGGAGAAAGAGGGAAAGTGGAATGCTTCCTTCTCTCCAGGTCAGGGAAGAGATCTGGGGACCACGATGGGGGGGCCCTCATCCCTCCCACCTCCTTGCTGGGGAAATGCCCAGTCCAGTGCCCCTTCCATGGCCACCTCCCTCCCTCTAAGCTGTGCTGGGGCATGAATCAGCTCTCACAGCTTGTTAAAGCTAGACCTCTTGTTTTCATGCCCTCACCTCAGGAAACAGAGTTATAGCTTTTCCAGCTCTACTCAGCAGGGGGCCAGGGTCCTCACTTTATAAACATCTCCAGCCTGTGAGAGCAGAGGGCAGGGAGATAGTGTGAGACAGGAGCCCAAGGGAGAAAGAGAAAGTAAGACTAGAGGAGCAAAGCAAAGTCAAGGACTCAAGACCAGAGTAGCCTGAACAGAAGTCAAGAAGGGCCCAAGAGGGTTGTGCAACAGAAATGGCCCTAAGGATGCTCTGGTCTGGACAGGCCAAGGGGATCCTAGGAGGCTGGGGGATCATCTGCTTGGTGATGTCTCTACTCCTCCAGCACCCAGGAGTCCATAGCAAGTGCTACTTCCAAGCTCAAGGTAACGTGGGGTAAGGAATTAGGAAAGGATGAGGAACAGAGAGGGTGTTGGGAGGAGGGAGGCTTAGGGAGGACCCCGTGTCAGAATACCCAGACTCCCTCCAGCTGTGAAACAGAAAACTAAATATGGGGGCAGTGTGCACTTACTCTCTCCCACTCCAGATCAGAGAAGACTCTGCCTGTCGCCACCACTTTCACACCCACTAATAACATTTCCCGTTCTTCCCTAGCCCCCTGTCACTATGAGGGGAAATATTTCACCCTGGGTGAGTCTTGGCTCCGCAAGGACTGCTTCCACTGCACCTGTCTGCATCCTGTTGGTGTGGGCTGCTGTGACACGTGAGTGACTAAGTATGGCCACAGGGAATGACTCTGATACAAGTGACTGATGGATGGCCAGGGAGTAACTAGATTGCTGTGATATGAGAATGAACAGAAGAGCAGAATAAGACTGGCCAAATCTGAGGGTGCCAACAAGAGTGTGACAGATAAGACTTTAGGCTACAAAGTGGGGGAGGTTAGGATAGACCCGGAGAGAAAATGCTCCAGTTATGAAACAAAAAAGTCCATATATGGTAGGTGAGATCTTAGGGCAATCAGTGGGGCACTCAAGAATAATATGGGAGGGAGGCTGTGAGAGAGGCAAATGGGGGAGAGATAAACGTGGCCTTTCACTGTGCTGACTCCCTCCCATCCTTGGTTCCCAGGTCCCAGCACCCCATTGACTTCCCCGCTGGGTGTGAGGTACGTCAGGAAGCAGGAACCTGCCACTTCTCCCTGGTGCAAAAATCTGACCCTCGGCTGCCCTGCAAAGGGGGAGGGCCTGACCCAGAGTGGGGCTCAGCCAACACCCCCGTTCCTGGGGCTCCTGCTCCCCACTCCAGCTAAAGTGAACTCATCACCCGTCTGCTGACTGCTCACTGCTGCTGCCACTTCCAGGGAAACCACTAGCAGCTGCCAATTTATTCTGAATAAATAAATTAATGCTACAGCTGAACGCCTGCCTTTCATTGTCCATGCCATTGGGCCTCAGGTGGAAAAAGCAGGTCCTACTCGAGTCCAGGTGCTGCGTTCTCAGCATCCTGAAGAGACCAGCACCAGGATGGGTAAGTGGGCCGGTTCAGATGGTTATGGTGCTGGTGCTGGGGCCTGGAGCGGCATATGAAGCCAGGGTGGGGCTTGTAGGCAGCACCTTGATAGGGAGGTCCCAGCTGAAAGTGTCAACAGGCACTTGCTCAGGACCTGTCCAGGTGGCAGGTTCGGGCTGTTCCATAGAGGGTAGGAGTACCAATCCCGGTTCTCGGGATGTTACAAATTCAAAATGTAATCGCCATTTCAGGGACACTGTGGAAGAAAAAGATAAAGATAGAGGCATTAGAAACCAGCAGAAGTAAAAGCCAATGACAGGATATGGTTAGGAAATGAAAACAAAAACTAAAAACAAACAAACAAAAACCTGTATTTAGGAAGATGGGGAAACGTAACAGGGCAGGAAACTACAATGAGGGTTTTTCAGAATAAATTGGACATGTTTTTTGTTTTTTGAGTTGAGTCTCACTCCATCACCCAGGCTGGAGTGCGGTGGCACACTCACACCCACCCCAGCGTAGACCTGCTGGGCTCTGGCAGTCCTTCCGCCTCAGCCTTCCAAGTTGCCGAACTATAGGCGCACATTACCACGCCCAGCTAATTTTTTATTTTAAATTGGACATGTTAACCAAAGATGTGAGTTGAAGATAGCACTCTAAAAACCCAAGAGTGGGACGGTCAAGACTAGTGGCTTGAAGTAATCAGAGATCAGTGCATCACAGGGTCCAGTAGACAGAAATGGGGAAGAAGTTCTGCAATGCTGTTAAGAGTTAGGAGATCAATGCAAATGGGTAGAGAGAGGCTAAAGGTCTGAGAAAGAATTAAAGGTCAGAGGCTGGACGTTGGTGTGTCTGGGAATGTGTTAGGAATCAGGATCCTTTACACTCTACCTAACCACAGCATTTTACTGCCCTCTCTCCCTTCTCCAAGAACAGGGTCTCACCAATGGCTGTGCAGAAGCCTGGGGTGGAGCTGAGAGGGATGGGGAGGGAGAAGCTGGTTCTGGTTGTATGTAGGCAGGACTCCTGGTGCCGGGCATGAGTCACATGGGACACAGAGGGGACACCCCCTGCCCCACGGCGCCGCTGGTACTCAGGCTGTACACGTTCCTCCGTCTGTAAGCTTACCGAAAACTGGGAGCAAGAAGAGAGATGTGTGCTAGCAGGCATTCAGAAATGCTGACCATAGGTGAGAGGGCAGCCCGATTTCAAGCTGTTTTACCAAAGGGACCTTGGGTGACCACCACAATCCACTTCTACATACCACCCCTCTTTATATAGGCCTGTCTCCTTCCACCCCAGTCCTTCAGGCCCAGCACCCCAGAAGCTCCACTCCCTCCTCACCTGCAAACAAGCTACAGTTCCTTCCCCTAAGTTTAAGGTTCCCACCACGTCCTCGCCAAGTCTGTACACAGATTTGAAGATGCCAAATGTCCCAACTTTCCCTCGGCCATCACTGATATTGTATAGATCTGGGGAGAATGAGATACTGTAAGCCAAGGGACTATACTAGGTAATGTCTAGAACTGGGCACTAGAGCCCAAAGGTGGTGCTTTTCTCTATAATCGGCAGTGAGATATCAGTGGACATGCCAAAGTATGTGGTAGTTAGGAGACTCTGTCTCTGAACAGGAATACTATGAAGGGAGGGCTAGGGTGCAATCATTCAGAAAGGATTCTTACGGAGGCTACGGCAGGATGTGGCAGCCATGAGGCGCTCCCCAGCCAGCTCAGCCAGCCATGAGTCCTTCTTCCCACCTTCATCCTCCTCCAAGAATGGACTGGATGGGGCTACAGCCTCATCCTGGGGAAACCAGACTTCTTGAAGGCCTAGAGAGAAAATGATCGGAGAGGTGATGCTGGGAGGAAACAGACATGAGAGTAAAGGTTAGGGTTTTAGATTCCAAGCTGACTTATGGCTACGTAGTATACCATGAAGAAAAAAAAAAAGACTCCAACCCGTGAGGGCTGAAGGTAAGGGGAGCCATGGCTAAGGTATACATCTCAGCCTATTCTCTGGAACACTCCCTCCCTTTCCAACATCTTCATTGAGACCAGGAAGCTTTCCTGCAGCCCTCCCTGCAAACCCTCTAAGACTATCTCTGCTTTGGCAAGGCTCTTTCCCAGCCCTTCTCTCCAGGAGCTCCTACTTACCAGTCAGCACTAGAACCCTCAGAGGGACTCTGAGTAAAGTGATGGGTGAGTTGACACGCTGGCAGCCAATGGTCAGTTTGTAGACATACTTGACTGACTGTCCCCGAAAAGAAGGTGGTCCTTCTATGGGCAGCACTTCACTATAGGAGTCTGATTGGGAAGTAGTAGTCAGGGCAACCATAGCAGACAGAGGAGTCCTCCCTCCAGGAGACTTAGAAGGCAGTTCAGGAATGGGGACAGCCACTCACATGATTTGGACTCTCCAGGGTCTAGCCTCAGGTCACAGAATAGAATTTTTGGTGGAGTAGAAAGGATACACTGACCCTTCTCACCTAAAAAAGGTAAGAACAACTGCAATTTAATGACCCCATTGTCCAGTACTGAACAAGGCTGGCATGGCAAATGGGGACAGTGAAAGGCTGCCAATCCCTCTCTTCCTATTGGGAAGTGAGAATAGTCTTATACCCAAAGCAATAGTCACCTTCCCCCACATTTCCAATGTGACAGCGACTATAATGATGCACAAGGACAATTCAACAACTTCATCCATGGGTGACAATGACTCCACCCCTTCCCAAGGCAAATGCCCATCTCTAACCTCGATGTGGCAGAAAGACAGTCTGGCTGTCAGGCTGGACATCTGGCTGACTAGAGTCAGGGGGAGGCAGTGCTACTCGGTTCTCACTGGCATGGAACTGGCAGTGGATCTGTGCACTGGCCCAGGCCAGAGCCTCACTGTGGGAAGAGGAAATGGAGGCATTAGAGGATAGTTCCTGATTTCACAAATGCTTTCCCAAATTCCCTACCACAATACCAGATGAGACCCAACAAAGTTAGGTGGCTATCATAGCGATCATGAGATACAGAACCCTAAGGGGGAAACTATTAAGCAAAGAGAAGCAGACTGCAGGTGAAGAGAGGAATGGGGGAGAAAAGGAGAGTGGACAGCTAGGTCATCCATATCTTCTGTTAAACAGCCCTTGCCGACAATGAGAGCACAATGAGCAAGGAAGTGATGTAGCTACAGGACAATCTGAGTTTTGGCTTAGCACCAGATACCCGGCTTCCTCCCAGAAGCGCCACCACTTTCATACCAGCATCCCCACCTGGATGCAGAAGTGGCTGTGGGGGGCAGAGGATTGCTGACGGTCACCACACACTCCAGCGCCTCCCCCGCCAGAAATACAGGACCCCGGCTCAGCTCTGCTACCACTTCAATCATGGCAGCTCCGCAATCAGCTCTAGAAGGAAACAAGGGGGGCCGGAGGTCAGCACCACGGCAGTGAGGGGTGTCTGAGACGCGCACCTAGGGGTGAGGACTGAGGAGAGGGGCGGCCAGCTCCACGGTGCCAGAAGGAAGAGCCTGGAAGCCGGAGTGGGCAGGCGGGTGGGAGGGACGGGGGCTGCTCACTCAGCACCGCCTGGGCCCCAGACCCCTGCCCGCTGAGCGCCGAGT